GTATATAAAACACACCAGCGTGGGGTTGTGTACATATGTGTCCGGCTGCAGTGCGCGCTCTCTGAGTGGAAGAGCGCATGCAGAGGCAGGAGACACGGATCCAATCAGGACGGGGTCCGAACCTGATGCAGACAAAGCGCTGCCCGTCCGTTGTGGTGCTGAACCGCAGGGCGCTCACCCCGCCCGCTGACGCAGCGCAAACTCAGCAACTAACGCAAACTTTGTCTGCATGGACCTGCAACCAGACCGATAGCAGGGAGCTGAAGTGATGGCCGCACTCCGCCCAACTGCCATGGACTTCGATCCGGCTGCGTGAGCAGGCATTGGACCGGAACTCGGCGGAGCTTCCGCAGACGAGCTGCGTTTCCACCACCGAGGTACGCTCGGCGTCTCTTTACTCACGGATCAGGTGGAAGGAGGTGAGGTAGAGGGGGAGAATGGGCTGCATCAGCTCCAAATCGCCTGTGGGTAAGACGCGCCTGCACCCTGAATCTAAAGCACGCTGGATGATTTTGATTTCTTGCACCCCCGCGGGTGCAGCGGCCACGCTTGTGATTTTATTTGGATGCATGCTGCGCCACTGAAGCAGCTGTGTCACACGCACGGAGATGAGGAGGAGGCGCGTGCGTTCTGGACTTTAAATGACAGGAACAGAACCAGTCTGAAAGCTCAGCGGCGCGTGTGTGTGTGTGTGTGTGTGTGCGCGCGCGCGTGTGGTACTGAAGCCCAAACATCGCGATGTTATAGTTGCATGAAGCGCTACGGAGGAGCTCCTGACAGCATCGCTTAACGCCTCCTGGTTCCGTGAGGTCTCCTCCTGATCCAGACACGATGGTTCTGACCGCGTTCAGCCAGTTTAGCTGCAAGGTAGGACACGATTCTAAAGCGACCAACACTTTCAGTTTGGAGCTTTCAGATTCACTCCAGTGTTCAACTTTAGGCTGACCCAAACACCAGGTTTGCAGCAGGACTGTCTCCCTTTTCTCCGCCACCCCGACCTCTGTGACGCGCGTCTCCCCCTTGTTCGACCTGCTTTTGCACCCAGCTCGACATATGCCCACCTCCGTCGGTGGATGCTATAGTTTAATTTTCACCCGTTTTTGCGCACACATCACCCTCTCCTGAGCCTGTGCCAACATCCATCCTTGATGATTCTGGCCGCGTCTCCTTCTCGCGGATTTGCGTAAAGAGTGTCTGCCAGTGCCACGGAGCTCTGTCATGCATGCATCAGCCACCTGTTTGCCTCCACGCCGATTACGTCTTCATCTACATGTCTTGGTTTTACTTCACTAAAGAAATCAATACGGGGGAAGCAGAATAACTACACGACGGATGACTCTCCTGCAGTTTCCACGGAAACCACTGAGGAGAAAAAAGTGTGTGAGCGCAATTAGCGCAGAGGAAGAAAAAAAATCCCGCTATCGTCCTGATTTCTTTAAGAGGACCCTGCAGCCCGCGGCTCTGGTCCACATAGGTACAAAGACACGTCTCAGGTGGAAGGACAGGGACCTAAACACTTCATCGTCCATCACCTACGTCCCCGTTAATGCGCGTCCCCGCTCGGTCACGTGACCGTTTCCTCTGCGCGGCATTGCTGATAGTAATTGTCATCAAGCTTCCAGTTGTCTCTGCGGGAGGGGACTGGTGTAGTTTCAGGTGTTGTGTCACCTGCAGCGGGCTAAAATGACTGCCATGTTGTGGTAATCAGCCGAGTCCTGCACGTGCGCGTCCCTCACTCCTTAGAACAATACGTTGATTGACGGAGGTGGCCTAGATTCACCCGCACAATGCGACCCGCGCACCTGATCCCATCACACCCAGTGCAAGGATCATATCTGCTGGTGGGCAACCTGAGCTGCTGCTAAGTGTGTGTGTGTGTGTGTGTGTGTGTGTGTGTGTGTGTGTGTGTGTGTGTGTGTGTGTGTGTGTGTGGTGGAGAGGTATTTGAGATGGGAGCTGGCGACTAATCGAGCTCTTTTCACAATAACCAGACGAATCCCCCCCCCCCCCCCCCCCCACACACACACACACACCCGCAGCGCTAGGGCAGGAGCTGACATTTACATCTGATCTGAGGAGCGACGCTGTTAGCGGCAACGGGCGGGAGCTGTCCGTGGTCCTGAAGCGATTTACTGCAGAGCGGTTTTGATGCGTGAGGAGTTTTGCCCTCTGAGGTTGGCAGTTCGAGACGAAAGAACGGGGTACAAACTGGCGCAAACTTCCGGTTTATCCGCAAGTTTTAGAAGTTCGCAGTGAGGGGGTTTTGCACAGTTCGTCTCAGAAACGTAATTTTATAATGTGGAAAAAGAAGTAAAAGAACCAGTGACGTCACGCACGACATCTACAGAAACAGACCGAAAATTGGATTTTGGATGAATAATCACAAAATAATAAAGTACATTTATTAAAGTTCAGGGGCCTCATTCTCAAAGCTTGTTTACGCAAAAAACGGGGTAATTCTTTTGCTGAGCTTATACGGTAAGAAGGACCCAGAGGCTCTGGACAGTCTGCGTTTTGTGTTAGAGACTATAGTCTAAATCTAAATAAATAATGCTGGGAAATGAACTTCACGTTTATCCCAAAACTATTTTCCACCTTACATCTCTTTAGTCTGATTATTTTTCAGACGTTCATTGTCTCTCGAGTTTTTTCTAGACGAGTTTCCACTGAGACGGTTTGATCCGTTTCCCAGCTGATGATGTCCTAAAATGGACCCTAGAGACTTCTCGTGTTGCGTTCATGAGGTCAGTCCCGACCTCAGAAGTTAGGTGCGGGCTCACACATGCATGCGCATGGCTTTAAACGCATGGAAGCCGCATCCTGCCCTCATGTTATCTTACTACATGCTGCCTCTGCTGCACCAGGGTCTACATGGACAGAAACAGGCTCTTTTTTTATTTGTAGTTAACAAATCTGCTGTTTTCTAATAGAGCGGGTCTGATTGTTTTTGGTTTCCTGTAGTGATAAAACATCACATTAATCATCAGCTAGAGCTCCTGGAGGCATGCTGGCTGCATCTTTGAGCAACAGGTGTGGTCAGCTGAAAACGCACTGTCTTGTTTTTAAAGCTCCAAGGCTGTTTGGCCTTCGTCTTTTGATTTTTGGAGCGAGGATCCTGCTGTGAGTTTTATCACAGCTCACTTTCTGTAACCCTCACGTGGCTCTCTTCCTCCCGACAGTGGCGGTTGACCGCTGGTTGCGCAAGCCTGCAAGCTCCATGTCCGATCTCGCGCTTTTGGGGAGCACGCGGACCTGCCTGGCGCGCACTTTGATGCTCACGGGAGCTCCGCGTGCACTGGACTTCAGTGAGGTGCTTTAAAACCCTGATGCAGTTTCAGACTGAATTAATATAAGATACAACATAAAATGTCTTTCATGTGACCCAACACCGGAAATGTCGCGAAGTCTTCCTGAACGCAACAACGATCATGTATCAACCCAATACTCTAAATGCCAGAAAGCTGAACGAAGACATGAATAAAACTAGCATAAAAACCTAAAAACACTCGGATCAGGTTATACTCAAATGAAATTTGATCTGATTTTATTTATTTTTAATTTGCTTTTAATTCGTTAACAAAAGAAATTGTGTTCCATCCATTCTGTCCTTTAGCAGCTTGATCTCAGGGTCAGCAAGCTGGTGTCACTGAGTGAGAGGCGGGGTTATTGGGCAGGTAGTTCATTCTAACCCTAACTCTGTTTAAAAAATAGGTGATAAAGTAGAAAACTCCTACTTCCTGCACCCCAAGAATCAGAGCATCAAAACATATATGAGCCATAATGAACAAACGCAGTTAAATGAGGAAGTAGAGTTGGCAGAAGCTCCTCTTCTGTTATTCTAACAGTATTCTTCTGAAATTAGACAATCAAAAAGGGAATGTTTGATTAAACATTATAATAAACTGTTTATCACAACCTTATGCTTTATTATAAGGGTTTATTATAACATTAATTGCTCTAAATGAATAAAATGGGCTAGTCACACATTTTTGTTTTGAGCCAAATTCTTAGTAATTTATTTCTGTGTATGAGCCCATCTTATAATACTTTATAATACAATGTTTGGATTTTTCTGCAGTGTAAGGCGTCTAACGCTAATGAAATGTTTATTTTTTAGAAAACGAAACCGTCTGATCGGAGTTGACGGAGTCTCCTTAATTCTGCTTGCTCCACCCAACAGTCAGTGACGTTTCAGCCCCGGGGTTTAGCTGTTGTCTACATGCCATCGAGCATAATTAGCTATGCTTTTTATTTCAATTTCTACCTTAATTTCTGATGATTGAGCCACAACAAAGATGAATTCATAACCTGATTGTTGAATCTATAGTTCAATACATTTACACTTCTGACCAAATCATCTATGAGATTGTTAAAAGTTTAAGTTTAAAGAGCCTGAGAAACAACCAAAGTGGGTTGGTGGTTTGATCCCAGTCCCCATCATGTGTCATACTGGCCTTTGCGCAAAACCCCAAAGCTCCACTGATTGTGTGAGTGGTTTAAGTCTCCTCCAGAAACATCTATAAAACCTTTAGATCTGTGCTAATGGTGGCATTTTATAGGAGACCTTTGACCCATTACTGCAAGGAAAGGTTCTGGACAGGTTCTTCAATCTTTTGATGTCCACAGCAAAATAAATAAATAAATAAAATAAATAAATAAAATAATAATAATATAAAAGCAATTAAATTTTTCTTAAAATTTTCATTCCTACATTATTTTAACCATGTCAGTCAAAAATCTTTGAATTTGAATTTAGCATTGTTTCAGTTAAGCTTGGTTATTGTTCCATATCGGGCTAAGGGTGAAGTCCAGTAGGCCAGCAGCAGTCCAGCCACAAACAAAAACATCCTATCTGGACAATTTATTTAGAAAAATAAACCAGAAATACTTTTATGGTGCTTTGACATTAAAATAAGCATATGTGTGATGACAGTTTTTTTTTCTAAATTTATATTGGTCCAAGAGAAAGGGGAACCCAGTGAATAAATGAATCATGAGCATCAAAATAAAAACAAAGCAGCTGCTGATGACGGTGGCGATGGTTCCACCTTGACTGAACACCATCTGGGTGTTACAGCCAAGCAGGAGCGAGCCAGCCCGGCCACGATTAGCAGCGACTAAGCGATCCATTAGGAGGTAGAGCCAGACTCTCGCTCCTGAGGGGTGGAATGTTTGTTAATGAACACCAGCCTCTCGGAGGCGCTTCAGACTGCTGCTTCAGTATGTCTTCTCTGAAGCTTCTCGTGTTTGGGAACATTTCCACCCCAGGTCCTCTCTGATGATTTCAAAGCCTCACACGAGGTCCTTGTTGGAAAGCCTTCATTCAGCAGGCAGCTGCTGTTGTCGCTTTCCAGTCTGTGACATCATCAGCATGTCAGTCACACATGCACACAGAGAGGAATTGTTCCACGGTGACTGGTTGCCATAGAAATGTTCCAATTGTGGAAAAAGAAAGGCAGAGGGAGGGTGGGAGAGGGGGAGAAAAGGGGGAGAATGCTTGAAACGTGCTGTGCTGGCAGAAACCAGCACTCATGTTGTTTTCCACAAGGTGAACCAAACATCACAGCAGCTCAGACAAGCAGATGTCAGACCTGTTAGCATCGCTGGGGCAGAATCAGCGGATGGAGTGATGAGCGCTGACCTGTTTAAAAGAGTTTAGGACTTAACTGACCTTTTTCCGCCTGCCAATCTCGCACTCTGTCTTTCCTTCAATCGTAAAGAAAACCCAAGTCACTTAAACTCCCCCACTTGAGACAGGACCTCATCCCTGACCTGGAGAAGACGTTCTACCCTTTTCTGACTCAAAACATCGGCCTCGGATTTAGAGGAGCTGATTCTCATCCCAGCTGCTTCACAATCGGCTGCAAACCGCTAGCCTGGCCTGCCGGACTCGTCCTCTGTTTAATTCTGCACAGGGAACTAGTCACTAGTCTGGTCACTCACAGGCAGAGAGGCACTTGAGGGGCGGGACTAGGCAGCTCAAAAGTAACCATTAAGATCCCGACTGTACCGCACAACGCTGTAGTTTTCTAGCTGTAGTAAAAAACAAAAAGCCGTCTGGAGACGGCGCAAGCTTTTTTAAATTTTTTTTTAGAAGAAATGCTTTTAGCGCTTCGACTTGTGGTTTTAAAGACATTTGAGTCACTTAGAACAGAGGAAAGAGCTGCAGCAAACTCCGCCACTGTCTTCGTTGTTCATGAGAAACTGAGCGCTGCCCTGTGTGACGTCCGCAACGCCAAAGTTTTTTTAGCTGTAGTCAAAAATGGCATCTGGCGACAACTTAAACATCTTTCTTTAGAAGAAAGGCTTTTAACGCTTTACTTGTGGTTTTAAAGTCATGTTCAAATAATTTAGAACAGAGGAAAGAGCCGCAGCAACCTCCGCCGCTGTCTTCGTTGTTCATGAGAAACTGAGCGGCGCTGTGTGTGTGACGTCTGTGACGCTGTAGTTCTGTAGCTGTAGTAAAAATGGAGTCTGATGACAACTTAAACATCTTTCTTTAGAAGAAAGGCTTTTAGCGCTTCTACTCGTTGTGTCCGAGTCATTTAGACCAGAGGAAAGAGCCGCAGCGAACTCCGCTTCAGTTGCCATGTTGGACAAACTCGGCGTTGTGGTGTGTGACGTACGCTACTCAGCGCTGATTGGCTCGGTTAGAGTTCTCACGAGGTGGGGTTCTTTGAATAGGAGAGTTCCCAGACTCTTTCTCTGTGCAGAATTAAACAGAGGAGGGGTCTGGCAGGCCAGGCTAGCAAACTGCTGCAGCAAAAGCAGGAGTTCACGTTCTGATGAAGCCAACAAGACCACATCATCTGCAAAACGCAGACACCTGATCCTCAGGCCACCAAACGGATCCCATCAAATCCTTGGCTACGCCTAGAAATCCATCCATCCATTTTCGGAACCCGCTTGTCTATGTAGGGTCACGGAGGGCTGGAGCCTATCTCCAGCGCTCAAAGAGCAATCAAGCGGGGTACACCCTGGACAGAGAGCCAGTCCATCGCAGGGCAACACAGAGACGCACAGGACAAACAATCATGCACACACACACACACACACACACACACACACACACACACACACACACACACACACACACACACACACACACACACACACACACACACACACACACACACACACCTAAGGACAATTTTAGACAGACCAATCAACCTAACAGTCGTGTTTTTGGACTGTGGGAGGAAGCCGGAGTACCCGGAGAGAACCCACGCATGCACAGGGAGAACATGCAAACTCCATGCAGAAAGATCCTAGGCCGGGAAGCGAACCCAGGGCCTCCTTGCTGCAAGGCAACAGCTCTAACCACTGCGCCACTGCGCAGCCTGTGCTTAGAAATCCTGTCCATAAGAGTTATGGACAGAATCGGTGACAAAGGGCAGCCTTGGTGGAATGTGGGCATTGTACCGATCTGTCGTGGTGATCTGGCAAAGCTCTTGATTTACTGGTGTATCCACGTCCCTACCCTCACATGTGGTCACACGCTTTGGGCAGTGACTGAAAGAACGAGATCACGAACGCAAGCGACAAAAATAAGATTGGTACGCGGCACTTTTCTGTTGAAACTGGGACGGCTTCTCAGATAAAAGGTCTTCAAGAACATGTCCAGTTGTATACATCACTAAGGACGTTTCCACCTTAGAGCTCTAAAGGGGGTGGAGTTTTCTCACCTGCTTCGCCAAAGTCCCTTGGTTGTCTGACGGAAAGGTCCTCACTGCTTCATATTGTGATCAATATAATAATTGGGGTTTCTTTTGCATCCCATACTATACCAAGTGTTCTTCAGAGCTGATATAATTCATGTTTCCAAACATTATTCTTGTCAGATCAGCAACGTTTGCATCATCAGGTGCTCTGCTCTATAAAACAACACAGAAATGAGCTGAAACACGAGGAAAGGTGAGACGGGAGTCTTCCCTAAAGATTTATAAAGTCCTCTAGGAACAGAGAACAAATAAAAAACACCAATTTATTGGCTGGCATCTGATTTTTATTAAAGGGCAAACATACTATGTCATCCCAAAACCCCTGAAGGCAACATGTAACATCTCCCTCTGATTATCCTCCCCTTGGATCTGCGAGCTGCACAAGAAGATTACCACGCCTCTGGGGAGCAGAAACTCCAGCTAAAGGCGGCAGCGGAGCCTCCTTGAGAGATGGTCCTCCTATTTGCTTTTTCTTCTGCCTGGTGTTTAGAAGTTATTCAGAGGAATAACCTGGTCAAAGTCAGGGTGATGCCAGCCTGAGTTAATTATCAATGTCTAATGAAGGAAGGCCTGAGAGGTGACTGCTGTGAGCTTGGCTCCGTTCGAAGTTTAACACTTGATGCAGCTGTTGGAAGATTCTTCAGCTTCCTCATCAGGTGAAGTCCGCTCAGACTGGGCCGTCATTGTTCATTCCCCATGTGGGGACAGGAAACGGATGCAATGAAGGGGGAGGGGCTAAGTGCCTGTCGAGTTATTGCAATTTTATATGAAGAAAATTTAAATGAGAGTTTTTCTGAAATATTATTTAAATGATTGAATTCTGCAGCAAATCAAAGGCCCAACTAATCAAACATTTCCAGTTTCACCCTGCAGCACATGGTGCAAACACGTCCAGGTTTTAACAGTTTAGCATGAAATTCAATGTAAACCAGAAGATTTGTTACTGGAGCTCTGAGATGCTTTTATAAACTCCATAACATAATTAGAAAGAACGGTTCCTCCTCCTCAGTCACTGTGCAGCAGTGTGTCTTTACAGTGCATGCACACACAGTTGTTTCTGTCCCCCTGCCGTGACTCGTTAAAATGCTGTATGAGTGGACCGAAAATCTTCTCGAGGCCTTGAAACACTCGCAAGCAACTCTGACAGCGGGAGTTTCGTTTGCACTGAAAAGCAGCAGAGGGCTTTTCCTGCGAGTCATGGCAGGAGGCATCAGATACAGCTCCCATTCACGCTGAGGATCTCAACAGCTTCCTTCCTGTCGTTTCAGGTGAACGTTGACAACACCACTGAAATGCTACCAAAGTCAAGAAGAGCTCTCACCATCCAAGAGATTGCTGCTTTAGCACGGTCCTCCCTGCATGGTGAGTGCAGCGCGCTGACTCGGGCTGATTAGCTGGATGAAACTGTAACACTTCTTGATGCGGTTCGTCGGTGAGAGGTAACGGTGCTCTAAAGATTTATAAATGGCAAATTAACGGTTATTTATTGATGATGAAGTAATGCTGATGAAGACATTTCGTTGAACTAATGGTTAGAATCACTGCGTAGTTTATTCAGAGGCCAGGGCTAGTTCATGTTGAACCAATGGTTAATGGTTGGCTTGCCTTATTGAAGTCCACATAGAGGAGCTCAAATGCAATAAAGTCTTCAAGAGCTGTGCTTAATAGTAAAAATAAATAACAATTTGAGTACCTGTCCACTGTAGTGACCATTATGCATCAAAGGGTTAATCTAACTAATGGTGAGGTTGCGGTAAATTAGTGGTTGCTTAATTATGAGTAGGGATGCACCGATGGATCGGCATTTGATCGCAATCAGCCGATAGCACCCCTATCGGTTTTGATCGGAGTTTTCAAAATAGATCAAAGCAGACCGATCAGGTAGGGTTGTTACGGTAACCGGTGTAGCGGTAAACCCCGGTAAAAAAAGTTGACAATAATAATAACCGTCCTGTTTAAAAAAAAATTATCTTGGTGGGATTACCGTGGCTGCGGTGTAGGCGCGGTGACCCTTACCAGCCACCGTATCATCTGCTGAATTTGCCGGTGGCACATGCGCACTTTGTTGTTTACAACCAAAACTTTCATGAAGCTAAAGCTGAAATAATGACCAAAGGAGGAGACGGCAGCGCTCAGGAGGACATTTATTGTCCCTCAAAGAAGACAAAGTCGGAAGTACGGGCGTTTTTTGGATATTTGAAGAATGCCGAGGGACAGTTGATAGAAGACGGCTATCCTGTTTGCAGCACGTGCAGAAAAAGTGTCTGTGAAAGGCAGCAACGCTTCAAATCTCACGACACATCTGTGTGACCATCACCCACAACTCTGCAGTCAACGCAAGGCAAGTTAGCGTTAGCGTTTTAGCTAAAATGCGTGATCCAAGGATTTGGGTTGAGGGAGAATGCAACGAGTCGCTATATAAAGCAGCCGCAGCGCCGCTACCTGCATATAGACCGTGTCGCGGACACTGCCATGTTGAAATGACGCTATGCATTACGGGGCTCCCAGGGGCAGATAAGAGTTGGTCTCTCTCCGAGAATAATTATGAATTTAACAATGATTACTGCCTGATGACATTTTCCCACATCTGCAAAGCTCAGCGGAAGGACACAAACCGAGGACAATATTTTCCTGATATAGGGTTTATTACTCAAGTAAGGGTAAAAAAGTATCTAATTAGAAGGATACTTGAGTACTGAGTATCATCTGATCTAATATTTTTAAAATGATGACATCAGACATAAAATAAGAAGTTATGGGCAAATATTGGTATTTTAAAGACTAAAGGGGAAAAAAGTAAACAAATAAACAACATAATTACAAAATAACACATTTTAGGCAAAATTTAGACACAAACTGGGGACAATATTTCCTGACATACAGGGTTTATTTAATTGTGTGAAAATGTAGCACGTTTAAAAAAATACTGCGATAATACTGAAAACCGTGGTAATTTTGGTCACAAAAACCGCGAGGCTACATTTTCACACCGTGACAACCCTAATACAGACCATTTTAGATTAGGTTACATTTCCTTTATTCCCAGGTTATGTAGTTTGTACCACTCATTATAATGTTGGAGAAAATTTCTGGCCAATCCACGTGATCGGCAGCAAAAAACCTGATCGGTGCATCCCTAATTAAGAGCTCAGCAGTTTGTGCTGCTAAGTGAAAATGGTGTCCCCGAGTTCACGATCAGTTCACTATTAGTGACCTGATTCATATGTCTGTAGTTTACTGTAGTTATTGATTAGCTTTGCACCATTAGTTCACCAAGTTTAGTTTGTGATTAGTTTATGGTTTATATTAATTCACTATCAGTTCATGCTTAGTTTGCTATTAGTTTATCTTTATTTAACCATTCGTTTAATAAGCAGCAGTAGCTCAGGAGGTAGGGCGTCCAGCAATCAGAAGGCTGTAGGTTCAATCCCAGATAATGCTGCTGCTGTGTCCTTGAGCAAGACACTTAACCCACATTGCCTGCTGGTGATGGTCAGAGGGACCAGCGGCATCAGTTCTCAGCAGTCTCACTTCCGTCAGTGTGCCCCGGGGGCTGTGGCTACACTGTAGCTCACCATCACCAACATGCGAATGTGTGCACACATGTTGTGTTGTATAACCCTCAGAAGGTGCTACACAAGTACATTTACCATAACAATGAATCATGATTAAGTCAAATTTAACTTGTGATCAGCTCACCAGTAGGTCACCAACATTTCATCATTATTTCATTAATAGTTTTTTTTAACTTGTTCATCATTAATTCACTATCACTATTTGGTCAACACTCATTTATGATTGGTTTACCATTACTTTATCAGCACCATATGACAAAGTTACCATTGCTTCCTGCATGGTTGATGACTATTTCATTATTTGTTTATAATCAGCTCACAGCCAGTTTACAGGTTGCTCACGTTTGTTCACCATTAGGTCATGGTCATTTCAGCAATAATTATTCATAATAGTTTGGCAACAATCCCTTGTTTGTTTATGACTATTTCATATTGGTTCACCACTAGTTCCCAATAAGACCCCATTTATTATGATTAGCTCATCAATTGTTCAACAATGATTTTCCACAAAATCACAGAAAGGCTCGTGACTAGCTGTGCTTGGGCCATGGCCAGTTTATCACTAACTCTAGGAGATTTGTATGGCCCTTTATGAGAAAGTGATGAAATATTTTCAGGACACGCACACACACATGCGCACCCCCCCCCCCCCCCCCCCCCCCCCACACACACACACACACACACACACACACACACACACACACACACAGTGCTGAAACATAACTCCTGATCGATGTGCTGCAGGTATTTCCCAGGTGGTGAAGGACCATGTGACAAAGCCTACAGCCATGGCGCAGGGCAGAGTAGCCCATCTGATTGAATGGAAAGGCTGGTGTAAGCCCATGGACACTCCGGCAGCCTTGGAGTCAGACTTCAACTCCTATTCTGACCTCACAGAGGGGGAGCAAGAGGCTCGCTTTGCTGCTGGTAAGATGCTGATGGGAGAGATACCCTCTAGCCCAGGGTTGGGCAACGCCAGTCCTATCCAGCATGTTTTAGTTGTTTCCCTGTTCCAGCACACCTGAGTTTAATCAGCAGCTAATTAACAGGCTTCTGCAGAGCTTGGTGAGCTGCTGAGCAGGTGAATCGAGTGTGCTGGAACAGGGAAACAACTAACAACACTGGTGTTGGTGAGAAACTCACATTAATCCAGGTTTATATGTAATTATGAGGTTAGTCCTTGTGGGTTACTCCTGTTGGAACCATCTGATGTTGCTACCTCATCAGAAGGAACACGCGTCATGTGTAAACACGTGTAGAAATGTTTAATCGCATGTAAGATCTGAATGTTATGTGGCTGAATGGACACTGCTGGATCTCAGCCAAATTCTCGTTTCATCAAAGTCCTTCACGCTCAACAGGAAGCGGGGGTGACTTTGTGAGGATAAAGTCCATGTAACATTTTTCACATCAGCTTCCTACCTCAGTCTGAGCTGGTTAGGGGTCTACGGGACATGCATGCACTGGTAGGTTACGGGGTTAGTGTTGCACAAACACACTAGTCTGTGTTGCAGGTTTTAACGACTAATGTTGGAGAGGGGTGAACTTGTCCACTGTCCTGGTGAGACTCCGCTCCATTTTATCATCCTCACACAGTTAGAGGTTCGCTCATCTTAGAAATAATTAACTTACACCCTATCTGTGTCCTCTGCCTCTTGCAGATTCACCTCGTCTCTGACTTCCCTTTCATTTACTCCTGCCCTGCTCATTACTTCTCCTTTCTCCTGCTCACACCTTCCCTCTTTACCATCTCTCTCTCCCTGTAACGCCTCTTCCACGGTCCTCTTCACTCACTTCCTGCGCTCTATCCATTCTCCTGCCTGCTCCCTGCAATGCAGACTCTCAAGGTTAATTTGCACAGTAAGGGTTTGCCCCTGGCCAGTGCCACTGTGACTGAGCAGTTTTCCTCTATGTCTCTTCTGTTTTTACTCTTTAACATGTGACCATTCACACAGCCTCTCCGCTCCAGCCTGAGCTACTTTCTTGTGACTTCCTGGTTTTTAAGAGAAACAGCTCTCACAAAGTCGGAGCATTCAAACACATTCACTTACAAAATACTTCATTTGTCCCTCAGGGAACTTTAATGTTGTAGCAACTCTTTCAGAAGTTGTTTCAGAGTCATTGCTTCTGGTTCTAGTTGGTTGTGGACAGGACGGATCATCTTGGTTGAAGCAGACCTGAAGGAGCCTCTGACTGAAGACCCTGATTTTGAGTTATTGTCTGGTGAAGTGGACCATCAGGGTTGTCCATGATCCTCCTTTCAGCTCTAGAAGCTCCAAAGCAGTTCCCAGATCAGAAATAACCTTCTTTATCAGCTTGCTGAGCTTTTTACAACCACTGGTTCTTGAGCTGCTGCCATCTTGCTGCAAACACTGAATGATCTCAGCTTCCACAACAAGTCCGTTCTGCCCCGCCCTTCCTGTCTACAACTTCACTGTTGTGTCTCCAGACCAGTCTGCTGTCCAGGAGGCAGCAAGGTCTTTATATTCCTCCACCACCTCCACATCTTCTCCCAGGATGAAACAAGTCTTAGATCTATTCTCTCTTCTTCTAAAATCCACATTTAAAATGAGATTATTGTTGCCTCACCTTCTCACTAAAGCCTGATTTATGCCTCTCTGGCTGCGTCAGTGCGGAGACACGCAACGCCATTATCCGTCCTTGCGTAGGGATCCGGCAGGCACGCAAGTACGTACGGAGTCGAGCCCACTTTTTTTAACATCCGTCGACCGAAACGGATTACGCAAGCTTGTGATTGGTCAGGACGCCGCTGTTGTTTACAGCGCCGCCATTGCAAAGAGAGCCGAGTTTAACTAGCGGCAGACACGGAGAAGCTTGAAGAATGCCTCGTGAAAAAACTCTTAAAAATATGAACGTTTAATTCTCCCGTGACTGGAGGAGTGAAAAGATGTGCAGCAAGTGTTTTATTTGTGGACGGAAATGACAGGAAACGTGGGTTTAGAGGTGGGGAGCGCATGAAGCGGTGGGAGAATGAGAGACAAATATGTCCGTGTTAAAAGTCTCTTATATACATAAAAAACACAATATAAACACTCTATCTTGGACCGATACATGACATGATACCACAGAACAGCGCTACGCCCTCTGTGGTCCTGCCGGGCAATTGCGTTGCAACGCTCTCCAGGAGACGGAGAAGTATGAAAGCAAAACGCTTCCATCAATCCGTGCGTGTCTGTCCCTTGCGGAGCTGACGGAGAAGCATAAACCAGGCTTTAGTGGTCCACCAGGTCTCTGTTCTTGGTCTCTTGTCCATAACTGACACGCTGAACAACTGTTTGAATATCTCTGCAGATGACAGGATACTGAATTGTGCTGAAAAGTGAAAAGAAAGGGTGTGAGTAACGTGCCCTGTGGTGCTCCTGTGCTGCTGAGCAACCCTTCACTCTCACAAACTTAGGCCAGTTTGTCAGAATTACTACTAGTTACTACTAGTGATTGTGGAGATGTCTAGTTGTGTCTTCTGGAGTGTTTTTCGTTTTTATATGAAACCAGCCTGGATTATGTTAAACACACAGGTGACATAAAAGACCAAAAACCTCACAGAGCTGCCTGATTTGTCCAGATGCCAGTTATGTGATGGCACCTTCAACTCCAACGTCTCGCCAATCAGCAAATTTCAGATAGTCCTAAAGGTTCTTGCGTTGCTCACTCAGGTGGGCTAGGACTTCCATTAGAGCAACAGGTCGGTAGTTGTTCAGGACAGATGGATGAGATTTCTGAGGTTCTTCCACAGCAGCAGAACCATCTCTTGGGTCAGACTAAGGTCAAAGATGCAGAATCCCTTTTATCTGGTCCACCTGGGTCTTGAAGACTCTGGGGCTGACAACAACGGGACCTGCAGCACTTTTCCAGTTTAATCAGTCCTGCTTGGGTTACTGGAGCAGAGAGCTGCAGCGTCTTCTGATGTGGCTGACAACAGTAATGAGCAGCAGCAAGACACTTGACCGAGGTGGAAGTGCGACAGGAACACGGTCGGTCAGGTGGGAATAGGAGATCTAGGTGGTTAGAGGCAGGAGAGGAGGTTGCTGTCAGACATGCTCTTTGGTTTTGTCCTGATGTCCTTCTGCTGAAGCTGGTGATGCTCTTCATCCCTGAACACCTCTGTGATGTTAGCTGCAGCTTGATACATGCCCCTTTACTAAAATATAAAATAGTTGTGTTTAGCTCCTCCCACCCACCCAGGTTCGCTGCTACACCTGTAGAAAATACAAGAGCAAGTCTGACAACAAGAAGGAACAAATTCACCAAGTACATAATAACAAAAGTATTTTGGATGAAAAAAATGGAACAGAGACTCCTCCCACCTCTTCTTATTGCATCATCAACATGCACCCACCTCAGCAGCATGCCGCCATGTCTGGTAAGGTTTCTACCCTGTTAGTGTTTTTACATGAAGGTACTGTGAATAAATGTGTGAGGTCACCATTTGGTGTGTGTGTGTGTGTGTGTGTGTGTGTGTGTGTGTGTGTGTGTGTGTGTGTGTGTGTGAGGTTTCCAGGCAGAGATGTTTATTCACGGACTTCTAGACACACACAGTTCTTTCATAAGGAAGAAATTAATAAATATAAAATAAAAAATAAAAACACAATCTAATGCAGCAAATTCACATCTTATCCTGAGTCTGATGTTCCCTCTAAAGATTTATACTTTGTCCAAAAACAGTTAAACCTCTAAGGAAACAAAGCCACAATGTACAATGAGGTTGGTGAAAAACTAAGTTGATCTTGGCTGCTTCCATTTAAAAGTTACCGGAAAAAACTGCTTTATGAACGGATCGTCGTCAGCTCCTCGTAAGCAGGAGTTTAGTCAGTTTGTTGGTCTGGAGCATACAGGTGCGTGTTAACCATGGGCTGTATGTTAAATGGACATACTTCATTGTAATACACAACAACTCTTTGATGACTTGATTATTATTATTATTCTGAGCTACTACAGCAATCACTTTCCCTCTGGGATTAATAAAGTATTTTTGAATTGAATTGAATAGAATGACATCATCCATAGGTTTCTGAAAGAGCTGACATGAAGCCCAGTGGGCGGTTCTCACCACAGTCATCTTGGATTCGTTACGCGTCTCATCACTCCCAGAAAATATAAAAATGGGCAAAGAGGGGGAGCTGAGGCAGGGGACAGATGATTGACACTCAACAAACTGAGCGGATGTGGCTACGAGCTAACCAAAGCTAACTGAGGTTGGTGAGCAGGGTTCAAACTACACACAGGCTTTTAGGGGAGCTCCCCATCCAATATCAGCATATGATGGTTTCCAAGGCAACAAACTAAGGGCTCCCCTCAGTATGTCAGTTGATGACTTGTTACTCAACATTAAACAAATATGATGGACAAGGAGGAAGATTTAAATCCCTCTTGCTCCGTGCAGCACACTCCTGTCACCTTGCTTTCTGATTGGCTGCATGTCGCCCTGAGCAGGCAACATGACGTTTGTCTTCAGGCCGCACCACGTACGCTCCGATATCAGGCTAACACAATCTAACATGTTGAACATCACTGATTATTGATCAGAGTGGTCCCAGCATCCTGCCAAGCAGATCAGAGCGCTCTTAACCCACCACACACATGAGGAATATCTGATAAGATAATCTTTAGAGCACTATGTTTACGGTAATCACACACTAAAAACAAACAGGTGTGTGTGTGTGTGTGTGTGTCAGTGACACTGAGGTGTGTGCTTGTAGCAGGTGATTGCTCTCTTTCTTCTTCCGTTGATGGGATTAAAAAGAGTTTAAAAGGAGACCCAGAGAACAGTTTTCTTCATGATGTTTTTGGGGAGAGTTCAGGGCTGAGCGTCAGTCAGAGATGAATGGGAGCATCAATCACTCTCCCCTTCTCTGTGGGAGACATTGCATGAATACTGAGCAAAACACAAGGAGAGGGAGGCACAGAAGGGAGGGAGGGAGAGGAAAATAAGAAGTGGGGAACATAGCTGGGAGACGGCTGAGGGAAAACAACGAACGTCGGGATGAGAAGAGTCAGGAGAGATGACTGGATGAAAGGTGGAATCTAGAACAGATTCAGGGTGAAGTGGTGAAGGGGACAAGGGGGACATAGGGAGGTAAAGCAAAGGACAGAGAGGAACATTTTTCCTTTTCCAGTCTGCTGCTGACTGAAGCAGATTGGCTGTACGGGCTGTATCGATCCACAGCAGATTCAAACCCCCCCCCCCCACACACACACACACACACACGCACGCACGCACACACACAATGAGGAGTAAATGACTGCTAATTTGACAGGAAATGCTGGAGCTGAGGCTGATTATCAGTCAATGTTTAAAGTTTGCTTTGCTCTTTTTAACCAAAGTTCTTCATTTATTAAATGAGTTTGACTCCAAATCGACTCTGGGATGTTTTTGTCAGTTTGTTGATTGTACTTCAGCCACTGATTCAAACCCACCGCTGATTAACTCACCCCTGATGGCTTTTACATGCATGGGCTTATCAGCCTGGAGGACCCCGAGGGTCGCCTCTCATGACCACGTGACGTCCAGGTTGTGCCTGTGTGTTTTAACACGACCAGCTAGTTTGTAGGCTCAGCTCCGCTGCGCTGCATCTGCTGCTGACTGGTTGAAGGCAAAATATCATTCTGAGGAAACATAATTGTAAAATTTTGTTGTTTTGACAATGAACTGAATGTATTTATGGAACTCCTTACATGCATATTTATTCATATTTTATCCTCACACACTTTCTTCTGTTTCCTTGCATCAGTCACGGCTCATGTCCCTTCATCACATTCCTCTCCTACAGTAGTTTTATATTTCTGACACTTTATTTACTTTATTTATTATTTATTTGAGATTACATTGAGAAGTCTTTGCAAGTGTTTAGAGGCTCCCTCACTGAAGTAGCAGATCTTGCCTTCAGCACAAGAAATGTTCATTTATGCAAGAAAATGAAAAGAAGTCAAAGGAGGTGTCAAAATGACAGAAAGTGGTTTTCTTATGCCTACGCTGTTTTCAAAAATCCTTCACGTCACAATGGGATATAAAAATCTGACAGTGACCCTGAATATCAGTGGCTCCCCTTTGGAAACGCCTGATTTCCATCTGGCTGAAGGGGGAGACGGTTTGTGACAGAAAGTCTAGCATTTTCTAAAAATAGGGACTAATAGTTTTCCTTTAATGACGTAAAGAACAGCATCAGAGAGTTTTTTTTCTCCTATTTTTGATTTTTCCTTTTGCCTTGTAGACAGGATGCAGTGGAAATGTGTGGGTAAGTACACCTGGGTTGTCCTCACCTGTCCAGTCCTACCAGGACACCTTCGGACTCTTATTTTATTTATTGTAAACCTGTCTCACCTCACTGATCCACTTCTCTGCCTTCTGAGAGACTCCCAGTTTACGCCCGCGCTCCACACCGTTTCCACCAACGGGAATGCAGTCAGCACAATAACACAATACAACACAATCCATCCTAAACACACCGTAGGAACACTGACCGGAATGGGAATGCTGTCTGAGTCCGATCTAATTCTAGACTGCACCGTTCAAAGACCTGCCAATCAGAGAACGGCTTCATGGCGCCGAGGCACAATGCTGCCTCCTTGTTACCATGCCAACAGTGTGATTACGTGTGTGCAGCTCATGTGTGTGTGTGTGTGTGTGTGTGTGTGTGTGTGTGTGTGTGTGTGTGTGTGTGTGTGTTTATAGGTGTGGCAGAGCAGTTTGCCATCGCCGAGGCCAAGCTGAGGGCCTGGTCCTCTGTGGACGGAGACGAGTCCAACGATGACTCATATGATGAAGACTTCCTGCCTGCTACTGAGCCTGCCACACAGAGCACAGGTAAACACACACACACACACACACACACACACACACACACACACACACACACACACACACACACACACACACACACACACACACACGCGATAAATCACCTGTATTGATTTATATCTCATTATTCACCCTCCTCCCGATCCAGCTCTCGTTGTCTTCCTCCGTCCCAGTGCCCTAGTTTTCATCCTCCACTGACATTTATTTTGTTCCTCTGCGCAATTTGATATCCCTCCTGCAAGTTTAATACAATTTCCTTTGCTGTAGAGGCAGGGTCTGTGAGAAGAGGGTGTGTGAGGCAGTTAGAGATGCACAAAGCTGTGTGTGTGCATGTGTTCCTCTGTAGTTTTTAACCTTATTATTTAGGTTATAGCTTTTAACGTCCAGGAGGAGTAGACCTGCTGCTCCTCCATGTCAAGAGGAGCCAGTTGAGGTGGCTTGGGCATCTGGTCAGGATAATTCCTGGACGCCTCCCTGGTGAGGTTTTCCGGGCACGTCCAACAGGAAGGAGACCTAAAGGAAGACCCAGGACACGTTGGAGAGACTATGTGTCTCTGCTGGCCAGGGAACGCCTTCAGATTTTCCCGGAGGAGCTGACCCAAGTGGCTGGGGAGAGGGAAGTCTGGGCCTCATTACTTAGGCTGCTGCCCCCCATGACCCGACCCTGGATAAGTGGAAGAAAATGTATGGATGGATGGATGGCATTAGAATGTAATGCAGGGATTTTGTATAGGAACTACAAGACCTATGCAGGAAGTAAGTGTGCACACTAAGCAATAGGCAGGTAGGTCACAATGATCAGGGATGACAAAGCATCCAGAAACAGGGTCTGGTAACAGATGAGATGATTTCAAAGGAAAACTACTGTTGCTTGTTTGTCAAAAACATTTTTTCCAGAACAAAGCAGTAATACTCAGAATAAAATTAATATTTTGTTGACTTTAATCCAAGATTAACATGCAGAACTGCTATTACTTCCATCAAAACCTACTGTTTAATACACATTGTGAAAAAAGTCCCATTTACATGTGTCTGTTAAATTTGACACTTTGATCCTGTTAGTTGAAGCTGAAATTGGCCCTGACCAAATTGATAAGCTAACGGCTAGTCACGTTTGAGTGACAGGTTAGCTAACAGCTGATAGCTGCTCTAAAAACCCACAGAATTCTCTAAATTACCATTTTGAAAGGTGAGAAAGGTTCAGGAGCACTAACGAAGGCTGTAGTCCATTAACTCATTCACTGCCAGCCGTTTCCTGATCACTAACGGCCTTCGCTGCCAGCGTTTCTCACCGTTTTTACTGTTTTTTTAAGAGTCACAGAACGTTGCGCGCTAGCATGATGTCGATGCCAAAACAACCTAAACAAAGAGGAGACTCACCTCTTACATCAGGAAGAGTCCGCACGTTTCGAGCGTTATCCGTTCTTTCATAATCTGTTGTCGAATTGTGATCGGCAGACGCTTTTCCGGTTCGCGCCTCACTTTTTTTACTGGAACGGCCCAAAACGATCTCCAAACACTTCGATGGTCTGCTTCCTGATCATGTGATCTGTGACGTATGCGGATGAAGATCGGCTTCAGGGCTGAGATGTTTGTCCTCTCAGCGCGGGGGCTCGTTCCGATGCTCAAACAGTAAAAAAATGCAAATGACTACTTTAGTCGTCAATGGCAGTGAATGAGTTAAGAGGATGTTCTCCTACAGAACCAGCATCTTGAGCTGCAGGGATGCTGCCCTGGCCACCGACCTCCACCTTGCCTCCAGCTGAGCTGTTTTAAGAGGCATCAGTGGTGCACTTTGTTCTTGGACCCTTGCTGTTAGCATGTCAACCTGCCCAAAGTTCAATTTTATTTCACCAAACTGAGGTTGTTCATTTAAAATTGTAAGCAACTGAAAAGAGCTACAAGGTAAATGCTTGTCTGCAGAATTTCACACGTGATTCTTTTCCTTTAGATGTGGCTTCTTATCCACCGTACTTGAAGGACCTGATCAGCAGCCAGCTTTGCCAACACCTGGGTCTGAGAAGGCCTTTTTCCGAGAGCGGAGGAGGGAGGGGAGAGGGAGGCAGCAGCAGAGAGCCCTCCCCCACAGCGGGATCTCCGGATACCCTGTGCTCCAGCCTCTGCAGCCTGGACGAGCAGCACCCGCTGCTGCGCGACCTGTGCAGCCATCAAAGCAGCCACGCCCAAAGCACCACTGCTGAGCTCGCTGCCAAGATCCTATCTGCCCTGCACGGAGGGGAGGAGCTTCTGGCCCGACTTCAGCGGGTAGGGCAGAGCGGGCCGGGTGGGGGTGACAGTGGCTTCCACAGCCTGGGTGGAGGCAGTCAGGGAAACAGGCTTTTTGGGGGTCAGGACTCTCCTTGCTTCTCCATGTCTTACTCTGAGGCATACCTGTCCCCTGGAGAGGATGACGACATCCCTTGCAAGGACTATGAGAGCACTGAGTGCCAAGAGGAGACAGAGGAGAGCAGGGTGGAGTACCCACGTGACTACGACCCACGTAGGAGGTTGTCTGATGTAGCCTCATCTGGGGTTGTGTCCCTGGATGAGGAAGAGGAGGAGGAGGAGGAGAGAGCAGGGGAGTCTGACAACCACTGACTCCTGGACTTTTTTACTGACGCGCTACAACCTGGGAGATCTGCTGTTTTTGATTTGTATTTTTTTAAAAACTTCTCAACCCACAGAGTATGTTTGAAGGTGTTATCCCCCCCCCCCCCCCCCCCCCCCGACCCTTTTGACTGATATATAACTCATCCGTCTTTGCCTTGCATCATTTCCAATCTCCGTCTCATCCCTTAAGTGCTCTGTCCCCGTCCCACAGACCGAACAATCTCTTTCATCAGTGCAAAAGCAGGACCGGCCTCGGTCCTGCCTGGACCGGACTAGGAGCAGCAGGTTGACTCACGGAGATGACGCCCGCCGTTTTCAGCTCTGTCCCTCTCTGCTGCGGTGGACAGAAGGACCGAGGGTCCAGAACTTTTCTCTGCATGTGTTTTGTGAGTGCTGAAACCACCGGGCTGACGATCTGCAGCACGATCTGTAATCTGAGCTGTGGGCCCCACCCCCCTTTCTTCCACAGAGGCCAGGTTGACAATGCATCCCTGCACCTGCTCTCCGTCCCTCCTCCACTTCCTTTGCAAGACCCTGAGATGCATCCTTTAAGGCATGGCTTGCTGAGCATGCCATACTACTTAACCCTGTCACTACCAATTATGAGTAAATGCTGGAATGTCTTGAAAGTGACAGGAAACGGTGTGTATTTTAAATGAAAGTAAAAAAAAAAAAAAAGGTTTGTCACAACAGAAATGATATGCTTTTCTTCTACTAGTTTTCTATGAGTCAAACATGTTGTTGGTGTAATCATCATATTTCCTGGTGTTCTGTGGGTCCTGCATGGAAGACACCAGGACTGTGGTCGTCTTAAAAATAAAAACACACAGCAGCATCAGCAGCGATGGCGGGAAACACAACGAATGTTCAAGAAGCGACGCTTCATCGACGGACGTTTGGCAGGAAGTGATGTGGGAGTGTTTTCCTGGGAAAAGAGGACCGTTGCACCTGAGATTTCCTCTATTTTTGTATACGTTGTCTTGCTTTGATCTCTTTGCCTATGCGGCGTGCCAGTGTATGTGGTTTTTGCACGAAGCTAATGTGGCTGTAGATTTCTCCTGTTCTTTGTTATCACTGTGTGATATAGTCTACTGGGAAAAAAAACACTACAAATGTGAACAAAAAGTCTTATTTTCAGTTTTTTTTAATTCAAAAGAGGATACTGTGATCTTTTTCACCATCTGTCATGATCCTCCTGAAGAGCCTGTGTTGTTTCATTGGTTTAAAACCTTCAGAGCGCTCTTCTTGGTTCGTTTTGGAAGCTCTGCCTTTGATTCTGTCCGTAGACTTTCTATGATGCTTGTAAAAGGGCGTGTTAACATCATCTCCATGGTGACGTCTGAGGTCATTCATGCAACTCAGGAACTTCCATCAGACGCTTTCCGCCGACATGCACAACGTTGCTCCCCTCTCATCCTCCATGAGTGTGCTGTGGGGATTGAGTGTGAGAGGAAACGTCTGTTCTGCGTTTGTTTTCTACAGATAATCCAAGCACAGACTCGGTTTCCCTCTCAACAGTTTTGTTTTCCAAAAGCCTCGATGAGAAAGTTTGTATTTTGGCATCTTGTTTTATGAAACTACATGGAATTGTGTGTCGTACGATGTCAGCGAGCACCTGGTGCTTGCACCGTAAATCCATTCCAGAGTCCCTCTGATGCAGCGATTCCCTTTAAAACAGCGTCAGGCGTGGCTGAGCTTCTGTTGGATGTTGGACTTTCGCCAGTTCTCAAGATCTCAAACAAAAACAAAAAAACAACCACAGAGTCTTTAAACTACAGAATCTCGGTTTATAAAGGAAGTGACAACTCAGGGGGAACCATTAAAGCTGTGCCTTTCACCTTTGACCTCTCAAACTGCATCATCGTCATTACATCCTCCTTGGTGCCACTTAGACCAGAGATTGATTTCTGTTCTGTTCCGCATTTGAATCTGAGGACGAGAAAAGTGAAAGATGAAGGTTTGCATTGGAGAAAAGCATCACTGTCCTGTTGCATCTTGCTGCAGGTCACAGTGGGCCGATTTACGTCATCGTCCTCTGGGTTGTCGTTAAAATCCAGCGATGGAGGCAAGGCGAGGTCGTGCTTTTGATCGGGTACAGTGACGTGAGCTCGCCATTGTTCCTCATCACTCACTCTCCTCTGTTTTTCAGCTCGCTTTCTCTTCACACGTTTTCTGTCTGTAAATCTGAAGGTCCCGTCCTCTAGAGGCTCTTCTACAAAGTGTGTGTTTGTGTTCAGCTTGTAGACACGAGCCGACATTGGATACTTTTCAGAGAATTACTCCAGATTCTCTCTGAGTGTGTGCATGCATGCATGCGCGCGTGTGTGTGTGTGTGTGCGTGTGTGTGTGTGTGTGTGTGTGTGTGTGTGTGTGTGTGTGTGTGTGTGTGTGTGCGTGTGTGTGTGTGTGTGTGTGTGTGTGTGCGTGTGTGTGTGTGTGTGTGTGTGTGTGTGTGTGTGTGTGTGTGTGTGTGTGTGTGTGTGTGTGTGTGATAGGGGCAGGAGGACCCAGTGCTATAAAAAGACATCAAAACATTTGTCAGACAGCGTGGCGGCAGGAGGGCCCATAAATATTCAGCTGGTGTTGGTGCCTCCGTCACCCTGTAACCTACTGATCATCTCAGAACAAAGCAGATGGGCCCGGGGACTGCACCAGGACCCCCATCAGCTTCTGGGCCAGAACTGGGTAAAGTGTAAAAACCTAAGAACAGAGATCAGTCCTGATGCTTCAAGAGACCTCCCCTCCCCGACAGGTACTCTGACCGGGCAGGAGGAGAGGGATGACCCATGACGAATGTACTGATTCATCTCCAGCATCCGACTCACCCCCGACCATTCCCATTCCCGTCTCTTTCTTTATGCCTCTTTCCTGTTTCCCTTTGGGAATGTTTCTGTTTTGGCTGAATGTAATTATTTATTTAAAAGTCGTCATTTTGGATTGAAAATTTGTTTGCTGCATCTGAAATAATTTCCAGATAATAAAATATTGTTTTTGTCCTTTGCAAGAAATTCCACTCTGGTGTGTGAGTTGCTTGTCTCACACACATACACACACACACACACAAACACACACACACACACACACACACACACACACACACACACACACACACACACACACACACACACACACACACACACACACACACACACACACACGCACACGCACACACACACACATTTAGGGCCAGCTAACCCAATCTGACCACTTGTGCGTGCTCTAACCGACATAACTAGAAAACCAGTAAACACAAGACAGGACGTCATTTCCCAAAAACATCAGAAGAAATCAAACTTCACATTGTTGTGACTCCAGATTTGACTGCATGTTTTGGACGCACCAACATGCAGCTTTCTGCTAAGTACAGAGACATAAACAAAATTAGCGCTGAAGCAGGTTTAATATGTTAGCTGTTGAAGCTTTCTGAAAGGCTTCTGTTCAAAGAAATAGCTCTTCAAAATGTTTAAGTTGCCAGTCAGTAGATCTGCAGCAGTCGGGGCGCTACATGAGCCTGCTGGAGCGTGGCTCGAAGTGGAAAATTCTCCCTTCACTGGTCTATCCACGGCCCTATTCTCACTTTTGGTAATTTAGTCTGGAGTTTAAATGAGTTTCCTCCAGTGAGACACCGCCACCCCCTCAAAAACAAACACAACAACAATAATAATAATAATAAGATAAGGAGAAAAAACCAAAGATGATTACTTCAGAGATGGGTTTACTCAGGTTTTGTTTGGCTGCTTCGGTCCAGAAGGGTTTGCATTTACCCAACATTTACACCACAAACAGAAGTTAGATTGAGGACCGGTATGCATGTTCTGTAGTTAGGTAAGAGGGTTATCTCACAAGAAGCTGTTGTGATATGCAGTTAGACAGGAATCACTCCAAAAGTTCATTTCCTGGGTGGGAGGAGTCTGCAGCAATCTTCCTGGCCCACAACAAAGTCCTGAAGCAGCTTCCATCCAATCACCTTTTCAGACCTGATGAAGTGATGCAGTAAATGATGGCTCTACTGAACTTCGTTAGCTCCTCACCCTCTATGCTGGAGGATGGGAAGCAGAGTCACGTTGACTCCATCATCCACTGACCTGCAGGCTCAGACGGGAGCACACCAGGCTTTTGACTGTTCTCATGACGACAGAGTTCAGGATGACTCCTATTACCTTTTATCTCCATAATAATAAATGATACTCATGGACAAACGCTAAACCCACAAAATGTCACAAATCCAGAGCTCATACTGCTACAGTCACATCCAGAAATCCAATCCAAGATGGGTCCAAATGAGGGAGGCTGCCCCCCATCCACCACACATTTCCATCCGTCTTAATCCTTGTCCACGGGGCCTTTGAAGTCCCACAGGAAAACAGAATTCCCTAATGATGCTCCATCCAGAACTTCAGAGACCGCAGGAGACAATCCGGACCGCTGTTCTGCAAAAACTCCAAAACATCCCTCAGAACCCTCCCTCCCGTTCCACGTCAGTTTCATCACTTTTTGTTTTTGCCAAAACATTCTTAACAAAAATAAACATTTTCCAGTGAATTATTTTAAACACAGAGGAAATCGGCTTGACCGCTGTCCCAGCTGTGAGCCGAACGGACCGAACAGGATCAGAACCGAAAGGTTCTGAAGCCAAAACAGAACAAAACGTGACCACTAACCGTCTTGTGCTTCATTTTGCTTTTTTGTGAAAGCCACATTAACTTCCTCTCCTCCTGTGGGGAGTCGCAGCTCCTTCTCCCTTGTGTTTATTGTTTCTGTTGTTTCATTAAAGCCCGGCTCGCTGCGGTCGGATCCTGTGATTGAAAATCCCCACACCTGCGCCTCATCAGCTGCTGGAGCAAATTAACCTCGCTCCTCTTTCCAGATGCTACCACTTGGTCTGCTCCCGCTGCTTCACTCTGCAGGCTTCACCTCTCTGTTTGATCTCTGTGAATTCACTTTGCACTCTCCACTCACCAGATTTGCAGTTTCTTTACACATCTGCCTCTGCGGTGCAAAAGGAGAGGATTTAGGGCAGGAGCGGGGAACCCTGCTCCTCGAGGGCCGGCATCCTGCACGTCTTTGCTCCAACACGTCTGATTCAGTGGTTGATTCACCTGTTCAGCAGCTCATCAAGTTCTGCAGAAGCCTGTTAATCACCTGCTAATTGAAATCAGGTGTGATGATGCAGGGTTGAAAGTAAAATATGCTGGACAGAGGCCCTCGATGGACCAGGATTCCCCACTCCTGATTTAGACAGAAACTGTCTGGTTTATTTTTTTGGAGGAAAAAACAAAAACACAACTGTGATATTTCTTCAGTCTGAGTGGCACAAACCAGAGTCTCTTTTTTATGTGATCCTATAATCAGATCCACGTCTCACTGTTTATTTGACTTTTGCATCAATTCTGCACCAGAGGAGATTAGACGAACAGATAAAACTACCTTCCCTTTATCACTTGATCAGCATTCAGTCAGCTCTGATTGCGGAAGAATTGGGTTGAGCTGCTGCTCCTCCACATTGAGCAGAGCCATGAGGCGGTCCCTTTATGTCAGGGGTGGGGATCCCTGATCCATCAAGGGCCGCTATCCAGCATACCAGTTTCAACCCTGCTTCAACACACTTGATTTCAATCAGCAGGTGATTAACAGGCTTCTGCAGAGCCTGATGAGCTGCTGAGCAGGTGAATCAACCACCGAATCAGAAGTGTTGGAGTAAAGACGTGCAGGATACCGGCCCCTGGAGGACCAGGGTTCCCCACGCCTGCTTTATGTGGTCAGGATGTTCCTGCACACCTCAGAGGAAAGGCTTTCCAGGCATGTACCTGCCAGAGTAGACCTAGGAGACACTGGAGAGGTAATTTCTCTCTGCTGGACTGGGACTGCTTTCCTCCAGAGGAGCTGGAAGTGGCTGAGGAGAGTTTGGTCAGGGCTTCCCAGCTAGTGCCGACGTTTAGGAAAGGATATCTGCCCTGTGTGGAACATTCGGATTTTCTAAAGCAGATTGGCACATTTTCAACAGTCTTCTTCACCATTTAGCTATTTGTGGACACAAGCTGATTTAAAAAAGCTAAATGGATGTAGAGTTAATCTGCATACTGAAATCACCTCTGTTGCTGTTCAGTGGAGATTCCGAAAAATGACCAGATTAACCTATGAGGCTCAGATCATATATAAATATCCCGGATACTTATATATCGACCTAAGTTCATACATCAACCTGTTTGATCTCATTTTAATCCAAGGATTAGTGTTTAATTTAGATAATTAAATTTAATAGCAAAAGTTATTTTAAATCAGAAGCTAGGATATTTGCTTTCAAATAACCAGAAATATTATACCTTTTCTGTGTTTCTTTTCAATAATGAAGCAAGTTTAAAAGTGAAGAAATTTTATTACTAACAATTTTAAACAAAAAGATTTTAAACGACAATCATAAACGACAATTCAAGGATGACAATTTTAATGACAATTTTTAACAGCTTTGATATTAAACCTGTTTTAAAAGAACACTTGTGACTGGATGAAAGCTAAATTGGAAAATACGAGTTTGGAGGCAAGAATGAGGTTATGAGAAGGTTTCTTTCACAGAGAGCAGAAGCATTCTGGATGGAATTGATGTTTTGCGGCTAACTGAGTTATTTAGAGAGAAAACAGCATCAGACGCAATCTGTCGAAGTCTACCTCACCCATATAGAAGACCCTCCTTCGGATCCGAAGTGTCCAGGTGGAGATGGTTTCCTCCAGGCAGGAGGCTGGTAGAAGAACCTCTGGTGCGACCAAACCGGTCCTGAGATGTCTCCTTGGGTCACTCGACTGGTGGAACGATTTGCGTCTCAAGATCCGTAACTCTGAAGGAGTTTTCCGTCTTTTAACTTAACTCAGAAATCAACGACTCTGGGTAGAGTCTTCGTGAGCTGGTTACAGTTTACGTTTATTCTTTAGCTCTTCTGGTCAGCGTGACTGGAACAGCAGCTGGAGCTTCCAGGGACGGCCGTTCCCTTTTCCTCCTTGGTGTTGGTTCAAGAACTGACCCTGAAGCTGGTGATGGTTAGTTTTACCAAGCTCGCAGGACACTCCCACTCTCTCAGGAATAAAGCTTTGATCGTGCGTCAAAACATGCGTTGCAGTTATTGTTTATCTGGACTCTGTGTTAGCTGGATAAGGTGAACTGACCCTCTGATATGCTGAACACATCTTTTACTGTCATCATAATCATTATTATAATAATTATTATTGTTATACCCAAAGCATAAATTCATTTCATGTTATTAAAATACCTTTATACTGAACCAAGTGATCGTTTATGAGATTATGTTAAACAGTAATAAAATCAATGAGTTTTATTAATTATTATCTAATTATTATCATCGTGACTTGAAGTGTCCTCCTCCAGGGATGGAACAGCAGCAGATATGGTGATATGATCTTGAGACATCGTGGCTCCTTGGGTTAATCTGTGGATTTAAAAGTACTGTTTGACCCAGCTTGACCCAGCTGGGTAGATGTGACCTTTGCCACAATTTAGAGAACCTTCATCACGTTACATGGACTTCCTTTGATATTATTGATGCTCTTTTTGCCTCATTAGCTCCATCGTTTCATCTCTCTGGAATTCAGCCATTGCACAACTACGGACGATTCACCATCTGCTGCTGGTCAGCAGGGACTCAGAGACACAATGTCCCATGAGTGGCTGAAAGCATTCCCAGTGGACATACTGGCTCTGTGGTGGGGGAGAGATGAACACCGCTAGCTGCTACAGGTCTGTGCCTTCTCGCACTCTGTTTTCTGTTTCTTTGGTCTGGAATTTGCATTTTCACGTTCTTGCAGCTTTCCAATAATTTCATAATGCATGAGAAGGACAGATATAAATGTTCACCCCAGAGCATATATTAGAACTGACACAGTGATGCATGCGTGCTGCTTACGGTAACTGCAAACATTCAGATTTACAGCGTAAACAGGAAGGTTGTCTGCAAAGAATTACGTAGATGAAACTGTTCTGAAGGCCAAAATACAATAAATGCTGCTGGATGCATTTTTACATTCTGCATGAAAAACACACTCATGAAAACGTTTGAGTAGTTCTGTTATGCAGTGCTGACGACAGCAGGGCCGTCAGTGGGAAAGTGTCACAACAACTAAAGTTTAACGAGAAGTTCACGAACCTTTTCTGAGACACAACAAGCAAAAACATCTTTCTTCTGCGTGTGAAGCTAAATCAGAGCCAACGTGTTGGTCCGGTTTTGATCTTGAATTTGGAAAACCAAACACACAAATCTGTAAAACATAC